TGACACATACCTGTTTGACTGTCAACCTGAACTCGGGTTTACCCTTCGCCTTGAGGATCAACCTGACCCGGTTGGAAGCGGGTTCAGGCTCGGGCTCTGGTGTTGGAGTCTTTTCTTTTGCCACGGCAGGTGTTGCGGCGGCGATCTTTCTCGCCTCAGCTGCCGCAGCCTCATCCCTCTTCCACTGCCTGTAGATCTCCTCTGTCCACGCTTCGACATGAATCTTGGGGAGGTTGACGTCGTCGTAAATATTGGAGTCTCCTTCGACGGATAAGTTGCCGTTTTCCACCTTTATTCCTAAGCGCTTTATCGATGTGCTATCGAAGAGGCGTGCGCCCTTCCATGTGAAGAAGACGTTGCGTGTTGTTTCAGGCGAGAACTTTTCTTTCTGACACCATGCCAGCCGTGGCTTCTCGATGGTGCTGTCTATCCTGACCTTGACCATCAACGGATTTGCGCCGGGTATTTGTGGGTCGATGAAGAGCTGCGTTATGGGTGCTTTCGGAGCGTCGCCGTTTGATGCTGCTGCGGCTTGCGCCTTGGCCGCTGCAACGCGCGCTCGTGCCCTGGCCTGCAATGCAGCTATTGTAGGATCCAGGCCTTCCTCATCTTCCTCGTCGTCGTCGTCGTCATCCTTGATCTCTATAGGAGGTGGCTTCGATGGTCGAACGGCTATGGGCTGTTTGTCATTGGATCTCGGTGGTTTGTAGTCCAACTCAGACTTGTCGTTGTGCGGCTTGGAAACATAGCCCGAGTCGTCGTCCAGGTCTGAATCGCCTAGGTCAATGACGGAAGACGTCTGTTGTGGCAATGAAACACTCGAGGAGGCAGATTTGGTGAGGGAGTCGTACCGGGCCGTGAGCGAGTCCGGCGGCGGATGCGAGGGCGCGGGAGAGGGGGATACTTTGCTGCGCCTGAGCTATTGTTAGTACTAATATTGCCATGTAGGGCCTGATGCGTACACTTTGCTGGCGGTCCTACTCGCCCGTTCTCTGCTGGCCGAGCTACTTTTGGTCGGCACGGGCTCTTCGGTGTCGTCTGATATGCGACGGCGCTTCTGGTCGCGCGGCTCAGAGTGTTTGCGCTTCCTGGCGGCCTCGGCCTGCTTCTTCTCTTCTGCGCGGATCCTCGCTTGCTCGGCGACTATGTCATTGAACTCGTTGGAGTGGCTGAACATGTCCTCGCCATCTTTCTTGGGCGCATCCTGCCATGCCGCCCGCTTGAACAGGCTGCGTTTCTTGGGTGGTGCGACGCTTGCGGGTGTGTCGGTCATGGTTCGGGCGGTGCCATGGGCGGTCTGAGTGGGCGGAGGAGGTGTCGTGCTACCCCAGGGTAGTGTGTAGGAAAGGGCAACCTTGGAAGGCCGCTGTTGGGGCAGGCGCGGGTTGGTGCAAGTGGGGCCTCAACGCGCGCAGTCACGCTTCTCGCGATGAGGAAGAGACTTGGCCCGTGCACTCTGCCTTTCCACACGACCCAGCATCGCCATCTCTCACGTCCGCATCATCGGCGACCGACTTCAAGAAATATCTGCTTACGCCTACTTAAGCATCAACGTAAGATCTATCTAGACGCGTCGTAATAAGTTGCTGATTGTTTGCTAGAAAATTCGGCATCACCACCACCCTCATCACCATGTCCACCAACGGTGAAAGCCCAGCACCCGAAGCCGCCGGTGACTCTAGAGATCCTAGCGGCTTCCTCAGTGAAATTATCGGAGCTCCCGTCACCGTCAAGCTGAACTCTGGTATCATCTACAAAGGTAGCCCTTGACGTGCCTATGATGCACATCAATTACTAATCTCCATGTAGGCGACCTTCAGTCAGTAGATGGCTACATGAACATTGCACTGGAGCGATGCAAGGAGGTGTCTGAGGGACGCGTCACCCGGAATTGGGGAGATGCTTTCGTCCGGGGTAACAATGGTATCCAGCACACCACTTGGCTTTTCACTTCACTTCGTACTAACGGACGTGCAGTCACATACATCTGCGCAGACAAGGCATGAGGGACCGCAGCTTTCCAGCCTAGAAGCAGGGTGGACGCGGCGACAAGCCACACGTGATGATCGATGACCCGTATCTTACGCATACTCAGCGCCAATAGGAGCTTGGACGACTGTCATGAGGTATACACCTGACGCTTCCACGAATGATTCAATATCAAAGCTGATTGTCGGGTGGTGCAAGTGACAGTCACGCAAACTTCTGAACTGCCCTTAAGTAACTGAGCGCCGTCCTCTGTATCAACTCACCGTCACCTCCACCCCAACATGGTCAACAGTGAAGACTATATACGTATTCCTCTCATTCCCGCTCTCCTTCACCATGTCGTCACTGTCTCCTAAATTTGCAATCCCTGTCCTACGACTGGTTCACCTAGACTTTGCGCTGTCGCGACGTGCACTGCGCTGTTGGACCCTGCAAACATTGTGGACTTGTCTACGCGCAGCTACTGTTAGCATACACAACAACAAGCCGCGCCTCTACGTCTGATTTTGAATTGCTCTTTACAGGTCTCACGCATTGCCGCACCCGCATCGCTCGTGCTATGAGCGGCAGGCACTAACCTTCTAATCTCATTCAACCCAGCTGCACGTATCGCGATGACTGTCCCGAAAGTCAAGTCTCGCGTGCAGCTCCGTAGCCAGGCGAAGCAGCGTCGAACCAACAAGAAGCACCACGTCGAGAAGCCGAAAGCAAAACAAACAAACAGCGATGCGCAGAGCCCTACAAAAGCACCAAAAGGTAGACATCGTTGCTTCAAACCGTATATCCACCAAATGAATCCGCTGACTGGCTCAGTGTACACGGCTTCTGTTGAATCCAACGATCCGATTTATGACGACAATAGCAACCCTGTTGACGATAACGGATCGTCCTTCGCCAGGCGCCATGTACTAACTACTGACGATCAAGAGTCTGCCGGCGCCTTCAAAAGCGGTCTTCGAACCGTACTAATACGTGACAGAGCCCCTGTTACCACGGACGGTTCAGAAGCAGCCCGTAGCGCTACGGATGAGCAAGATCACGAGACGAGCGGTACCTGCGAGAGCGGTAATCGAGATGAATCAGGCGATGATGGTATCTCTGCTATCCCGTGCGGTTCTGGCGCGCCAACGGAATTTGAAGATGAGGATGACGACCCGCCTGCCTCTCTTCTAAACCTGGCGCCTATTTGGTATCCTCCGCCAGACTGGTCTTGGCCGGACACTCTGCCAGCGGCAACGGAAACTACATTAGATGACTCTCCTGTCGCTGAACTTGCTACAGCGGGCCCTTCTCAGTTGTCAGAGGAGACTACAGCAGATGCATCATCGGGGGTGGCAGTTGCTACACCAGACTCACCGTCGACAGGGCCAGATGCGACGGTCGCAGTAGCATCCGCATCAACAGTAGTTACAGCACAACCAGCATCAGCGGCAACAACCACTACGGCAGACCCATCTTCAGTGTCGACAGTCGCTCCAGCAATTCTGACTCCAGTTGTGGCGGTCACTGCAACAGATCGCACTCCAGCGGTAGCCATCACTGCAGCAACTTTGGCTCAGGTATCATCGGTAAGCTCAACAAAGCCCTCTCTTGGAGTATGGCACAAATGGGTCGTCGACCTTTTTGCCGGGCGCAAACCAGTCTCGCCTAAGAATGACGATGTCAGCAATACACCACCGCCCGTCTCGATCATATCCTGGACTAGAGAGGATCGCGACTCTGACGCAGCGCTTCCATTGCCTTCCCAACCCCACCTTGAATTGAGATATCTCATCCCTGCGACCTTTGACAAGCGGATGAGACTGAACTATCATTCCAACATTCACCCCGCGCCCCAACATGACTCTGTCGGCAAGGTCGCGACCCATGAAGACGCATCCCCCACGAACAACGTACAGCGCGGCTTCGTCGTAGCAAACCGGCCTGCTTCAGCCCCATCTCCACCACGCCGCGACATTGATCATTACAGCAGTCTGCTAGCTCGTGACGACACCAACTGGGCGGAGTGGAACAAGTTGAATATTACTGCAGACGCCATGCCCTTCACACGGTCGCAGTCGGACACCCAGTTGCTGCATCCTCAGACCGGAGCGAAGATGGCACGGGCAAACGGTCACCTGACTAAGAGCCAGACTGGTCATGCTTTTCTAGAAGATGCCGGCCACCGGTATCCATTTGGCCAGGGACCGGGCTGGTAGTGATTGAGCAGTCAAGACATCTCTTGAACCGACTGCACACTTGAACACGTCCACCCAGTGACGAATTTAGGGACTGGATCACTTCCCCAACGACTTGTATAACAAAAGTACGTACCACATCCTCCAGCGCAGCAACTAAAGCTAACGGCTGAAATCTAGACTGCTTCTTTTCTTCCCTTTTTCTGGTCTTGCGTCTGCAGCGTTGGAGCGCGACTATTGTCCGCGCGAATGGCGTCTGCAGTATTGCCGTATCGGCATGGCTAGGTGCAGCTTTGCTCCACATCCAGCGTGTGACGTGGTCCGAATTGGAATGCTCTTAGCTACGGGCGGCGCATACTAGGCGCGTCTTCAATCGGGCCGAGGACCGGCAGTGCTAGGAGGTGCTTTTCTTTTATCAGGGCTGCCCGGGGCGCTAGTAGGCGAGTTGTCGCTGAAAACGGTCGCGGTATTGGGATGGGTGGCGTTCAGCGGTTAGGTCGTGTCTTTCTTTGCTTTATTTCTGGGAGATACCCTGCGTTCAATGTATACATATTAGAAGTTGGTGTGTCATGATATGCAATGTGATGTTATGAGTGATGTGATTGCGAGCATCGCCCTGGCTGGCGAGCAGCTCAATGTAGCAGTAGGCGTCATAATGATAAGGTGGCGTGTATTCATGTGTAGCAGTCGTTGTATCATGTACTCGTCTAGGAAATTCGTGCAGTCAGAAGAAAAGAAAGGAAAATAACGCCATTCCCGCGTCGTCCGTTGCGTCATTGCTCTGCATATCCAGCAGCGAGCATCAACGTTGAATCATCCCATGTACCTCCTTCTCTAGTTCGCTTCCCTGATCGGAGTGAAGACAACCTTAGCACTAGGCTTGGGTAAGATGGTCGACCGCCAAGTGAAGAGGCGCTTCGCAGTCGGGTTGACAAGCTCGCAGTCGTAGTTCAAGATGACTTGTCCGAGGATGACCTTCATTACAGCTGAGGCGTAGAACCTTCCGGGGCTATAACGAATTGTTAGCAGTGTCTTCGGTCACAACAACCGAGATACAGCAAGAGACTTACCAGGCCATTCTGCCCGTTCCCCAGACGTGGAATGTCATGTCAAAGTCAGTCAGTTTCGTTGGCTTCTTCTGCATAATGTCGAAAGCGCCATCAGCATTCTCCAGGCTCTTAACGAGCTGCGGGTCAGCAAAGCGGAAACCGCTGAATGTTGTTGCTTCGGGGTAATCGACGGGGTTCGTCATGATGGCGCGGACGGGTGTGCAGAACCAATCTCCAATGTTGACGTGAGTACCGTCTTTGAGAGAGAAAGGTTGGAGCGCTGAGCGACGTGTGCTTTGCGACTCAACGGGTGTCAAGCGCGCAGACTCCTTGATGAAGCTGTCGAGAAGCGGAAGTCCAACACCGCTTTGCTCAAACGCGGCGTATTGGGACTCGCACTCCCTTCGTAGGGGTTCTACGTACTCAGGGTGGAGGCAGAGGTCGTGGATGGCGAAAGTTACGGTTGTAGAGACGGCGTGCACGGAGCCGAACCAGATGGCCATCAGCTCGTGGACGACACGCTGAGGTGTCCAGGGCGCGTTCTTGGGTGATGTCTCCATGATCCATTGGATGCAATCGGCGTGTTGGGGCACCTTTTGGCCTAGCTTGGCTGCGTCTCGCTCGATGCATCGTTCTTCGGCAATCGGCAGAAGCCTGTTGAAGATGACAGCGTGTGACTTGAGTGTGCGAGCGATGATACCGCCGACGATGCTGTACGAATTAGTAAAGAGGGCTGATGTGACTCGGCAATAGCACTTACGGGGTCATGAACCCGGGTAGCAGGCGAACGATCTCAGCGCAGATCAAAGTCTCCTCGATGTATGCGAGGGCGGACACCATGAACTGCTCATCCTTTGCTGCCTTCGGTCAGTCATGCACGAAGCAATTAGCGAAGTGTATGGAACGAGACTTACCCAGATCCTTTCCAAAGAAAGATACTGCATTCGACAAGACGACCAACTTCACAGTCATGTGGTACACATCCGACTGCTTCTTTCCTATTGATCGTTGTCAGCAGAGTTACATAGGTCATAGCTTGGTGTTTTATTACCGTTGATCACTGGGTGTCCAGCATGTAGCTCCTGGAACCTGGTGCGGATGATGCAAGTAAGGTCAGGAAGGATCTTAGGCAAGTTGTTGGTCAGAAGTGTGCGAAGAGCGCGGATGAAACCGACACCCTCAGTACCACGTCGGTCAAACCAGTTGAAGCCGTGCCTGCGATTTGTTAGTAGACTGAATGCACAATGACTGCCACCGAGAAGCGCGAAGGTCGTCCTACATAGTGTAGAGGGGCTGTAGCATCTACATCTTGTCAATAATCGCCAAAAACGAAAGCTGCCGGAGAACTCACCTGCTTTGACGCTGCCTGGAGTGACAGCACCGTATCTGGCGCATTGTCTAGCTCCTTGATCTGCTGGGGGTCGGAGACAAAGACATATCGGTTATCCGGGGCGAAGAGCTCGAATGGCTTCCCTTTCGCCTCATCAAACGCTTTCTGGATGATTTCAGGGCCCCAGAAGAGATATGCCCATGCCTGGTACCGCTTGGTGATAGGCTTGAAGATGGTCTTCAAGATCCTTGATGGAGAAGAAGCCTGGTGAACAGGTCAGTGTGCACTCATGATGCATACGGAGGATGTGCATCCGGTACGTACCAGCTTCTTCGCAACCAAAGCCTTGTAACAAAAGAAAATCGATATCAAACCGAAGATGCTGCTCGCAGCATTGACCGCCAATGGGCTGAGCGCTGGCAGATGTACGCTCTGCATCTCTAAGAAGTCCATGATGGCAGTAAAGTTTGGTTACGAAGTAAGACCTTAGATTGGGCTAATAGGCGCGGGGTGTCAAGCATTGGTACATATAGAAAGTTACCATATCGACGTTGCTCTAGCTACAGGTCCTGCTGCGCGGACGAGCCGGTTGGAACGACCCGTTACATTACGTCTAAGCTTCTATGCAAGTGAACTAAAGTCATTGTTGGCTAGCTGAACTGTGCCACTGCACTGCAGCACGATCGGATCAATGTCAGGCCATCTGCATGCTACACAAGCTGCGTCGCTTGATGGACGCTCTCACCTATCGTGTGTTCCGCGGTCGATGAAAAGACGAGCAACCCACCCTTCTCTAGCGCTATCACAACGTCTGCTGTCCTAGAAAGTAAGTAGACCCGATGCAACTACCACGCAGAACACGAAGCGCCTCGTCCGTCATGCTGGAAGGACCAACGGTCCGATCCATAAGGGTGTAGTGTGAGAATCGGGGAAAACGGTGAACGTCTGGACGAGTCCGAGGCTGCGGCTCTAATTCGAGGCTTGTGCGCAAACGCACGAACGCGTGGGCGAATCACAGCTGGATGAGGAAATGTTCCGTGCGCTAGATGACGGAAGAGGCCCTCCAGGACCCCTGACTATCGATACGGCTAGGTCAAGCCGCGACCCTTGATGGACTGCCGCCGACCAAGATGGCGAATAGGTGAGTGCACGGCAAGCTATCGATGTCGAAAAGTGACAGTTGCAAAGGCGCGCTTAGGCGGGTTTTGCCCCACATGGCACCACTACCAAGAGGTAGGACCGACCGCTCACGTCTGATTGGAGGACAAAAGCTCTGGTGGAGTCAAATCCGACGTCGGTCTTGTATCGCATCTGTACCTCGCTGCACCTAAGGAAGCGACTTCAAGGACAGAGCCTACTTACCGCTGTATTCCCAGACCAGCAAAAGGACCTACCTCGGCCGTCCTTGTGCAAGCCGCCAGGTGACCTAACACGCCTTCATATCTTCCAGGGTCTCTCGAAGCGGTACAAGGTTTAATCGTCATTGCGTGCATACAGAGATATCGATAGCGGGAGACAAAGGTAACATCGCGGGTAGCATTGCCTGCAGGCAATGAGGTCCATGGCCCGCTTCTCCATGGGTTCCTTTCTTTTTGATCATGCACACCTCTTCCCACGTGTCTGGATACGGATGACGCGGACACACCCACTGGCCCGGCTTGGATCCTGGTAGCAATGCCTACGCACGTGCGGTTATGGATTGAAGCAGGCCGTCGGTTCCAATTACACATCCGGAGTACGTTTGCGTTTTAACTGGAGATATACGAAGAGGCTTGCATGTCCTAGTACCCCATCAGGACGAGCTGGCGAGAAAAATCCTTCGTCCGGATATGTTGTAGCTAGAGCCAGCGCTGCCATGGTACGTCTTGGCGTATACGATCGACTTCAAGTAGACTTACCGGATGTCGACCGGATGATAGCGAGTAGTCGAGGTATTTTTTCCATGTGCAAACGAGCTCAGACCGACTTTGTATCCGGGCACCGCTCGAGAAGCGACCGACTAGCGCGCACATAGCATCCGCATACGTGTACGCGGGGGGAAGATGGCGACTGGCAACCAATGTCTTTCTCCACCAGCATTCGAGATCCAGTCGAACATCTGTACAAATCGCGCCACATGACGCATCTCTTCCTGGTCGAGGTTGCTCGAGCGAACAATCGCAGTCGTAGTGGTGTGCTGCGACTAAAGTTGCAATTCTGCTGTACTCTTGCATGATCTTATAGCCAATGGTTCTGCTTTTGTTTCCACGCAACATCGTTTAGTTGAAGTCATAATTCGACGTTGATTCTCCGGTCACATGCAAAACCAAACCAAGCCACTGAAAGACGAGACATTTGTGATATCGCTTTGAGAGACCCCACGCCTATTCCTGATGTGGAAGTCTGCCGACCCGAGCCGTGTGTGGAGCCGCGCGGTTGACGCACTGTCGTACAACCTTCCTCAAAAGATGGCAGCTACTGCAATGTGAGTAGTACGCGGTGGGTGCATTGCATGCTGCAATACCGGAGCAACTCCCTAGGTACTACCCTGAAAATCATGCCGTTCGATGACCCGCTCAGTCGCGCTAGCAACAAGTGTCGCGGGAGGCCTATCGATTGCAAATTCGAGCTTGTTGCTTTGCGATCATTGGCTCGGCCGTCTCGGTGAACGCCGCAATTAACAGTATATTCGGCAGAATGTACAAGTCGGTAGCCGCGTTTGCAACATCGACATCGATGCATGCAGAGCACAGTGCTAGCTTGTTGGGAGGATCCGGCTGTTACCTACCTGCTGCATCAAATCCTTGCTCGTGCAAACAGCCCAATGGATGTACAGTCTAATGCAGAGGGCTTCCGAGGAGAGCTGAGCGGCGGGACGTTTCCTGTCACTGGCGGTCCATTGGCATCAGCATACTTTAAGTGTTTGGAGTGTCGAGTGCTCTTCGTTGTTCCTATGATCTGATTAGCTTAAGCATGGAGCTCATCATCACGCCCACACAGGCCCTCGTGCCTTTGTCGGTTCTGTTCTTAGTCTACCACGCAATTCGGGCATTGTTTTTCGGAAAGCCAGAGTCCAAGCATTGGGAGGAGCTGCCAGTCGTGGGCCTCCAGAAAGGATGGTTTGAATGGGTGTGGGCGACCTTGAAGTCTATCCGGAAGACCCAGGACTGGGCGTTTGAAGGGTATCGCAAGGTATGATAGTCTTTGATATCAGTAGAAATCTACTCATCCTTAATCTTTTAGTTTGCCAGCGTAAACAGCCCTTTCATCTTACCTAGCATCGACAGAGGAGCGATGATAATCCTTCCGCCTCGTCTGATCAAGAAGGTCTACTCACTGCCAGAGTCCACGCTCGATATCCACGCGACGCAGAGTGAGACTATCCAAACGAAATGGACAGTCTGGGACAAAGAAGTAGCCGACAATGACTTCCAGATCAACGTCGTGCGTCATCAGATTACGCGGAATCTCGAGCATTTGACGCCGCTGATGGCCGACGAACTTGACAGAGGCTTCGAGCGTTGGTGGGGAGGGAAGGGCGACACAGAGTGGAAGGAAGTCGCAGTATGGGATGCTTGCTTGAAGTTGATCGCTGGTGCAAGTAACGGCGCCTTTTGCGGCGCGCCGCTGTGTAAGTCGCTCAGGGTGCCTGGTTGGAAGATGCGCAAGCGCTGATAGTGTCGCAGGCCGTGATGAACAATTCTTGAACGATCTTAGAGATCACGCGATGAGCATCTTTGCCGGCGCTATGCTTATCAACGCATCCCCTAAGCCGCTCAAGCCAGTGACTGGCTTTCTTGTAGGATCGACGTGCTGGTACTTGCGCAGAAAAGCAATGAAGGGCTGCTTGCCTTTTGTGACAGAGAGATTGAACGCTACTGCCCGTTTCAAGGCTGACCCGAAGTGCGGGTGGACACCACCGGTAGGATTCCGCCCCTTGCATTAACGAGCTGCGCATCAACATACTTACCCGGTCCCAGAAAGATGGTCTCCAATGGCTTATCGATGAGTGCTACGCCGCAGCCGCAAAGGGAGATGCAGGGCAGTTGGAGCCGAAGCGAGTGGCGCATCGGCTCTTGTTGGTCAACGATATATCCCTTCATTCGACCAGCTTCACTGTGCAGAACGTCATCCTGGACCTCTTCAGCTCGGATCCGGCAATGGGGTATGTTGATGCTCTGCGAGATGAAGCTGCATCCGTGCTCGCCAAGTCCGGTGGTGTATGGACGCGCGATGCGGTCCGGGATTTGAAGCTCATCGATTCAATGATCCGTGAATCAATGAGACTTAATCCGTTCGCCATTGTCGGACTTCCGCGAACAGTATGTATGCCAACAAGTATTAAAGGACTGGTATTAACAAAGTGCAGGTCGTTCACCCCGAAGGCATTCGTCTCCCAGTTTCCAACGTTCATGTGCCTCAAGGTACCATGATCGCGGTTCCAATGGAGCCAATCCACTATGACGAAAGTATCTATCCCCAAGCACGCAGCTTCAACGCGTTCCGGTTTGCAGACCCGAACAATGTGACTAGCATCGTCGACAACTTTGCAACCAAAGACGACCTTGAGGCTGCTAAAGCGGACACGAACGAGCGGAAGGGCAAGTCGACTGCTACGCTTGACGATGCTTTCCTCGGGTTCGGGTTCGGCCGACACGCCTGCCCCGGGCGATTCTTTGCCTTGAATGAGATGAAGGTCTTTATTGCGCACATGCTGTTGAACTATGACGTTGAGCACATGGCGGTCAGGCCGAAACCGTTGGATACTGTGTGGCTAAAACTTCCTTTGCATGGTGGGAAGATCCGGGTGCGACGCAGGCCGTCAAGTGTGTAGATAGAATAAAGATATCCTCTGTTGATCCTCATCCGATGTAAATCCGACAGCCGTCGCTGTATTGATTCGAGCCTTTGCTACAGACGCCTGCCGAGCGAACATACTGGTTTGCGCTTCGTGTTCGATATCGATGTCGAGTTCGTCGTCAATTCGTAGATCCCAAAGCTCCTGTTCGGGTAGATCGCGAGAGGATTCAGTCGCCAGCTGCTCTTCCTGGTGGCTTCATCTCTCTTCGCGCTTGGGGGCGGTAGTGCAGGAAGACCTCCTCACGTAGGATCGCTCATCGCAGGTCGGCCGACTCATGATGCGGGTGTGGGAGAAATTCTTGTGTCCTGATGAGCAGCGATCTGAATGACACCTAGGGCTAATGTTTAGCTGAATCGGCCCAGCAGCATGTAGTCCTGAGAGAAACCGGTAGTGCGTGGAGCGCTTGCAGAGGGGAGTTAGCGACGGAACTCTACACAGGTCTCACAATCCGTGGCGTCGTGCTTGCTGCGGTGTTGCTGTTTGCGCGACTGCGGTACCTCCCAGAGACGCATGAGGTTAATATCCTGGACAGTTCTGGCATGCTGTTCAGTCTTGGTCGCTACTTCCTGCTATCGTAGCTGATTTACCCAAGACAGACGTCGCTTCCTAGACGGAATCCTACAACTTGGTGCGGACCTTCGAACAAGTCGGATACCACTATCGCTATCACCGTGTAAAATAGGTTCTTTGATCAAAACCTTCAATTGAACTCGTCGCCATCGTTGCGCGCGCAACTGCGGAGCGAATGGGCACACGGCTTCGCGAGCCAGGCGGGCCTTGTACGTGAGATCATCGCAACTGGCATGTGGACCAAAATGACCGAGATGCGTCAGTGGCGTTTACGAGTATAGTGGCTGGGCTCAGCTTGAGGTATCAGTATCGTGTGTTGCTGGTTGATTGTTGTTGGAGGAAGCGTCCGCCCCCTTGAGGGAACCCACGCTAACCTTGGAAGCCACATGAGAGGCTGCACGTGAGAGCGAAAGAGATAACCGCACGACAGCGTAATTACATGTACAGATATCGCTCACAAGCCTTTGGAACTGCTATGAGCTTCTCAAACACTCCTGTACCAATTCCACGCGAGCCTGGAGACTGACAACGTGATTGGGTACTAGCGTGTAATGGATGCCCCGACCGGCAAGCTGCTTTCGGAACGCGTCGTCGATGCGCATCCACGCCTCCGTCCCGTCTGGCATCAATCGCGTCCCGTCGTCGGCAAGCCAACTACAGCCAGCTTCGCATAGCACCACAACGCCCGCCTTCATGCGCCGTTCGAGTTCCTTCCACTGTGCCGATGCGAGCATCTCGCCTGCCGCTCCTTCGCCCACGAACAGTTGCGCGTATATGATAGGATCGAGACCGGAGCGATCGGAGATATACCATGTGGTCGGCGGCGTGTCAAGACCGATGGCAGCCTGTTCGGCTTCAAATTGCGCGTCGAGGATGTGCTTCTGCAGTTGCAAGGATCGGGACGGCGATGCAGTGATGTCCTCGCGGCTGAAATGCTTGTCGTGTAACACTTTGCGCGCGACCTCTCGGATGATCACCGGCCTCGAGGCTACCTCTGTAACTGGAAGGGCTGTGTCACGTTGATGAAACGCGTCTTCTAGTGCGTTCACGAGCGTCGTCTTGCCGGTACATTGGGCGCCGATAATGTAAAGACAGCGACTGAGGGCTGCCTCATTCGCCATTATGTCTGTGGTGAGTGCTGGGGAAGAGTCGGAAGTCAAGGCAGACGCTGCTCTTACGGTAAGTCTTGTTTTGCCGCTTTGGGTAGTTCGGTGTAACGTCGCACAAGCAAACGCAATCCTTCACGAATCACGAAGACTTTCGTCTGTGTAGACCCCGCATCAAGCCACTCTCTTTCTGCAACACTGCGGCGCACTCCTCTCCATCACAACAATGAGCAACTTGCGAACTTTTCGCGTCGTGCTCTCGCGTGATGTCGATCCAGGGATCACATCATGGAACTACACAGTGGCCAACCTCCCGCAGGCCAGGCAGACAAACGCGGCTGGACTTGTCAAGTGCTTTTCCCTTGTTTCTTCGGGAACGGTGCAGGAGATCGTCCTGCGGTTTGAAAGCGCGCCCTCCAACCGTGTTACACGCAAAGAGCCTTTGGACAGACTCTTCCTCGTTTCGCTGGCGGACTTCCGCTTGCATTGGCCTTCAAAGTCGCCAGATGACCCACCACGCGTAGCCACTGGCAGAGAGAACGGCGATTACGTCACAAGATTACTCACCACTGGCGTTGTACTCAATGGGACTCACTACCACTTCTTTGGTCATTCAAACAGCCAAACGAAGTCCAGATCTTGCTTCATGTATGGCGCATCGAAAGAAGACATCTCTGCCAAGATCGAAGCTATGGGCGATCTCTCGAAACTCAAGTCCGTAGGCAAGAAGGCAAAACGAATTGGGCTGCTTTTCTCTAGCGCAGAGGCCGCGCTTGATCTCTCCCCGGAACGCTGCAGAGACATCGACGACGTCAAACGCGATGATTACGTTTTCACCGACGGATGTGGTCTGATATCTCTTCAACTTGCTCGACAACTGGCTCAGAGACGCAACATAATATTTCGCAATCAGCGCTACCTACCGTCAGTATTCCAAATTCGATATCGTGGATACAAGGGCGTATTGACCTTAGACCCTACCCTTCAGGGTAAGGAACAGGTACAGTTTCGAGAATCTATGAGGAAGTTCAAGGATGCGTCCGATCACAGTTTCGCGGTCGTAGACTATTCCAAGGTTAGATTTCCAAATCGTCTCTTGGTCTACTGAGCTGACTGGACTTAGCCTTACGTCTATGGTAGCCTAAACGATGAGGTGGTGGTGCTCTTGCATACGTTGGGTATTTCGGCGGATATCCTTCTCGACAAGCAGCAGCAGCATCTGCACTTCCTCAATAACGTTAGCCAAGGTAATCCTGGGGCAGCCTTCCAGTATCTCTCATACAGTGGCAGACTCGATCTAGCAGAGAGACTTCTATTAGAAGGCATTGGATCTGTCCACACGCTCCTAGGAAGGATGATTCGAGAAGAGTACACCAAAATGCTGAACAAACGAGACGAACAACGATGTCGGATTCTGATCCGCCGCTCACGGCTTCTCTTCGGTGTTTGCGACCCAGGAAGCAAGAATGGTCACCCGGGAAAGCTCAGAGAAGGTGAATGCTTTGTGCGGATAACTGATGTTGACGGGCGAGCGCATACCATCATCAACACCGAGGTGATGGTAACGAGAAACCCATGCCTGCATCCAGGCGATCTCCAGAAATTCAAGGCAGTAGATATCCCGGAGTTTGCTCATCTAGTCGACTGCATCGTGTTCCCAACTGAAGGGAGCAGGCCAAGCGCTGATCTCATGTCAGGCGGTGATCTCGATGGGGACAAATGTAAAGCTCTCGTATGCATCTGTCTCGAACTCGCTAATATCTTTCTAGTCTTTGTGACTTGGGATCCAGATATCATTCCACGAACGATGGCACAGCCCGCCCAGTACCCAGGAGGCAAAGAACTTGTAACTTTCGGCGAAGTGACCGGTGACGCCCGAGCGGAGTACTTTGCCCGATACACCAGTGCGTCCCTGGGGAAAGTCAAAAATCTCTACATGAGATGGGCGCGCCTCGGTCATGCCATGAGCCCGCAATGTCAACAACTCAATCGGTTGTTTTCTCAATGCGTTGATGGAAACCACATCCGGATTCCTGACGACCTCAAGGAATTCACGAAGTTAGAGGATCCGTCTGAACCTAAACATACCGTCGCTCCCTTTATCTTGGATGTTCTGCATGATGCTTGCACCCAGCTCATTCTTCAGGCTGACAACACACGACCCAACGACTGCGATGAAGTCGACGTGATGGAGCTCTTCCTCGCACGAGACAAGATGGCGATGTCTGAATTCGAATTACTGCATCTTCTACTGCGCTGGTGTGAGCATAGCGGTGAAGACATCCTCGAATACAGTCACCATCTCGATTTCAGTGCTTTGAGCGATGAGCAGCAAATATGGTTTCTTAGCTGCCTTCCACCGTCTGCAACTGCGCCGAGTTTGGTACGGAACGGGCTTCTCCAGTCAGAACTCGTCACGCCTGACGAGGTGAGCAAGTTTCGTCTAGATCAGCCGCACCTGCACTGGAAGCCGGTCTTCAGATCGTCCACCGACCGTATGCAAAGATTCTTGCCTACCGTCTCTCAGGCCTTGGAAATCTTCCACAAGAAACTCATCATCTTGACGGTGGATAAACGTCTGAGCGTTGCGATATACGTACCAAAAAAGATTGAAAGAGCGAGCGAAGTTCAAGTTGACACCGGCGTCGTAGTCTTCGCTTTCCCCCACTCACAAGGCCTACATTCACCAAACTACAGAATGCTCCCAACCAAGGTCAATTACAGGCTGTTTTGCGATGAGCATATGTTTCAATTGTACGAATGTCAGCGAAGTAACACATGGATCTTTCTGAGGCGTCCTCATGCTGACGATTCGCTCTACCGAAATGAGAAAAACAAAGGAGACAAACGCAGAGCACGCGAGACTACTGTTCGCGACGGAGTCAACTTTGACTGCAAAGCTAGCATTGCTTTGGACAAAGTTGGTCGAGGACTTCAGCAGCATATCGGCAAGGTGCAGCAAAATGGGGTATTGGGTGCGGTAGGTTGACGCTCTCTATGCCGGACTTCTACAGTTGCCGTGATACTGATAACATTCAGGAAATCTATGTCATCAGCAACAGAGACATCAACTCAATGCGGGTGCTTGACGAGTGGCTTACCTTCGTCGACACTGATGAAATCTTACCGCTATTTGAGAAACCGAACAAGAACTACGATATTCCCAGATTGAGTTCTAAAGACTGGGCAGACTACCCCGAGACAGTAGGTGCCGTGGTTCGCGACAAAGACTTTGCTCACCTCCAAAAACTGAAGTCTGTGTCAGACCTGTCGACCATCCTTGGTTTGCTCAATGACCATGGTGAAAAGAAGATGCTCTTGGACACGTTCTCGCATGTTCTTGCTTTTGAAGCAAGCTCCGCCCTCTCGCTAGACCGGACGATCGTAGCGTCGACTCTCCTCGACTTCCTACCGAATGCGGTGTACCTGATACCCGCATTCTTCCACTCTCAAACGTGGGAGACTCACAGGTCCTCGTTGGACGAACACCTTATCCATCTGGCCTTTAGTCTACTGAGACATCTCGTCCTTTTGTCGGAGGAGATGGGTACTTTCATCCGGCGTCCAATCCAAATCCTGTTGCAAGAACTGAAGTGCATCTCGTTGAGAGAGTTCGCCGACATCGTGGAGCTCATTTCGCTTACGGTCCGCTCTTCCGAAACGGCCTTGGATTTTCTTCTTGGGGTGTTAGAGCCTGAAAGCTCGCGGCTTCTGGTAGGACGGCCGACTGCAATTCGGCAATTCACGTCATCGTTGCTCGGCATCGCGCTTGATCATGTAGATGAAGCGTCTAGTGCTCGCGAGCAAAAGTCGCAAGAGTTTCTCGAGCTGCGCCTGGATGGCCATAGCGACGGCTACGCAATGGTCAAGGGCACACTTCGCATCGACTCTTCCTTGAATGGATTGCTCAGAGCTGGCGATCACGTTCGTCTTACAGCATCCGATCCACCGCAGAATGATGTTATCGCAAGGCTCTTCTCGATGGATGCTGTTGTGTCATCAGCTGAACCAGGCAAGGTTGCATTTCGGTGCCTTCATCATCCCCCGTCGTACCTTGGCAAGTGCGCCTGGAGTGTTACGCAGTGTGGATCTTTCGTTACAAGCAAGACCTCGTTCGACGCTGTAACTGCTTTTTACACGGAGCGCGAAGCTTGTAGTGCCATCTACGCGATGCTTCTCGGTCTTCCTCCGCCAAACCAAGATAAGTCGATTGGCATCGAGCTACCGGTGACTGTCGCCCCATCACTGAACGGGAGTCAGAATGCAGCGCTCATAGCTTCGATGAAACATTCATTGACATTCATCTGGGGCCCTCCGGGTACAGGAAAGACTCACACAATTGTCGTCATTATTACCCAGCTGCTGGAAAAACTACCCAAATTACGATTCCTCGTTACTGCGCCAACGCATAATGCAGTGGATAACATGCTGAGGAGGTTCGTGGCCTACCCTGAAGCGAAGAATGGTGGCATTGTCCCTGTTCGGGTATCGACGCAGGTAAGTGTGGTTACCTCACACACATTTAATAATTATACTCACATCATAACAAGCTTTCCAAAGTCGCTCAGGACTTACGTACGTACACGTGTGACGCCATGGTCGGCAAAGAGCTAAGCGCGAACTTCCCAGCTCGGCGTAAGGCGCAGAAGCGGATCGAAGAGGCCCGTCTCGTGTTTACTACGTGCACTGGAGCTGCGTTAGGTTTGCTTCGTAACGAGGCTTTCGATGTCGTCATCATTGACGAAGCCTCACAGCTTACTGAGCCCGTAACCCTGGTGCCTCTTGTCAAAGGGTGTTCCCGTGCGATATTAGTTGGGGATCATGTCCAGCTTCGCGCCACGGTTCAACAAACTGCTGTGGTAACCGGTTATGACGTTTCACTCTTTGAGCGCCATTACAATTTAGCACCGAGAGAAGGTGTCGCAAAAGTAATGCTTGACACGCAGTATCGCATGCATCGCTCCATCTGCGATTTCAGTTCCTCTGAGTTCTACGACGGCAAACTCCACACTGCTGTAGCTGACAACGCGCGTCCGCTGCCTCCTTCGCTCTTCCCCTGGCCTAAGACAAATCGTATGGTTTGGGTCGAATGCGCTGCACCTGAAGACCTTTTCCAGCAATCCAAGTCGAATGCTGGCCAAGGCGACGTCTGCAAACGTATCATTCAGCTTCTGAAGGCATCACCGGCATCTAGTGGCTCGACTGCAACCCCAAAGGACTCCATCGAAACCCCTACTATCGCAATATTGACACCGTACACTCGTCAGAAGACCCTGCTTACAACAACAATTCCGAATGCTGAAGTCTACTCCATCGATAGCTTCCAGGGTCGTGAGGCTGACGTCATTGTGTTTGTCACCGTTCGGTGCAACGCTCATTACGCTTTGGGATTTCTGGATGACATGCGACGGCTGAATGTGGTCATGACAAGGGCGAAAGCTGGTGTTGTGTTGGTTGGGCACAAAAACACGTTGACAGGTGTAGGGGCAGCGGAGACTGTAGACGATAGCAAGCTGGTTTGGAGGAGATTACTAGAGAGGTGCGAGGTTGTGGAGTTGCCAGCTCAGGCCGAGGACAGTGGTTCTACTCACTGATGTGCAGTGTCGCACATCACTTTGTCCTCCATATCGAAAGCCTCGGTCTCGGATCATAGACATCGACCGCTATCCTCGGGACTGTTACTTGTTAAGTTGCAAATGCTCATGACTTGCACGCGATGCAGTAATGCGCTTCTAATGCATCTATTACATAAGGTAATTCGAGACGACCCACAATGGCAGCCGGGAACCCGACGCGGCATCCGCAATCCCACCGGCCAAACATGCCGTTCCATTCCCATTGCCGCAACCAAGTTCACCCGTGTTGCAATGACCACCTCATCCCGGTGCCGCGCCTCAACGTTGAGCCTCATGCTTCGCCGTGCCTGCACTTTGTTCAAGCATGCGAATCCTTCCAAGTGTTCACCCGGCTTGTCTTTGCAAGGTCCCAGTCCCGACGAGACGAATCATCAGATTACTACCAAGGCCCCATATTACTTCTATCTTCGTGTGTCACAAGGACTATAACTCGGCCTCGTCTGCTCGGTGACATCCTCGTACTCGACTGTCAAGTGTTGCGTTCGCGTAATGCCAGAGCTTGGCTCCACTTTACTCTCCTCGCTACCATTCCGAAAGCCCGGGCTCAAGATACTGTCCTGGCTATCGTGGCCCAGGGTTGTTTCAGACACGCCCGACTTCCCATGCTGCTTGGCTGACCGAAGAGTCTTGCTCCCGATTGTAGCGAGCTTCACACCCGACCGACTACGCGATCTGTACCCACTTGGACCTTGCTCACCGCGTGAGCTACCAAAGATTCCCCGGCCAAAGATGCGGTCAAATAATGGCTGCAAAGTCGGTATGCAGGCGCCGATGATGATAGAGTTTCCCTCGATACTGGTCCAGATGGTGATGTCGGCCGTATCGTCTGTATCGCGTTATTAGTACGGATGATTCAACACCGCATGCGGGTCTACTCACAGCTGAAGTCAGGGCTCGCAAGCGCTGGAAGTCGAGTCGACTTGTACACAGCTACGGCTGCCGCACTGTTTCAAGTGTGAGCGGAAGTTCCAAGACAAGCATACGCAAGCTTACATAGAACCCAGTCCCAGCGCGGCACTCAAGGCTATCTTCTTCTTGAGGTTGATTTGTAGTCCATACAGAACAACGGCGGGATATATCGCGAGGTAGAGGTCCACGACGGCGGAGATGGCTTCGCGACGGTCAGTCATGTACTAGGTTTACTGGCTGTGAACTTACTTCCAGCTACGATGGCGTAGTAGATCAGGATCCATGGGCTCCAGCAAGTACCCTGGACGGAGAAGTCCCACTGCGACCGAGACGGCGTACACTGTGCGAAGATGATGATGACACAGCCAAACAGAATCAACAAACAACCACCGGTCATAGCCCACAGGAATATCCTATGTTTTCGGCTAGGGTTGGTGATTCTCGTTAGGAGAGCAACCACGGCCAGCTTGGGGATTCCGAACGAGAATATACCGGGAGGGAAGCCCGCGAGGGTGTACAATATAGCACCGGACTTTTGCTCGTCGCTGAGCACGGAGAAATGTCGTCCATTTCCAGCTTGTACGGCTGCTATCGTGAGGCCAAGCATGATGTAGCCACATATCTACACGACGCGTCAGCATGCTGAGCCAGTGAGAACGTTATTGAGAAATGCTCACCATCGACAATATGATCAGCCAGTCGTCGAGGCCTAGCCTTGATAGAATTTTGACTCTAACATAGAGTCTGGCCGCAACAAACACAGTCGCTACCGTCGTCAACGAGATGCATACTGCCAAAACCGTTGGACCCTTAGTTTGTTGGGCAAAGCCTTCGGAAAGATCTTGCGATACTGCCATATTGCAACAAGGCTAGGTGTGGAACCAAATGATGAGGGAAAAGTTACAGTGCTGGAGCCTAGGTTCAGTTTGATATAAGCTCGACTGGACATCAGACTCTCTGCTTATCCCCTGCGCATGCCTGCAAAAGCATTATCGCCCTCTGACCACCAACACCAGGGGTCGTAAGAGTTCGTGCGCAGTTTCGTCATGTAGCGATGCGGCTTAGACCTGGGAGCTTTCAGAAGTTCGCACAGCCCCTGGTGCCGGGCATGGTTTCCGGAACGACTGTACTTTTTCAGAAAGATGACGATCGTGTGTCAGTCTACGGACTATCTTCTGAACTGGGAAGCGCGAGAGTAATCATTTCCATGCAGCGCGGGCGACACCAGGCCCACACGTGCTCGCACGTACATCGGATGCATAGGCCCGTCAAAAGAATCGACTGAACGGGTGGCCCAACCCAATCATAGCCATTCCGGTCAGAAGTACTGCATACAGCCTTGAAGTAAGGTCTACGAAAGCAGTTCGGATATGCATTCGCGCATGGGTCTATCTGACTTCCGGTGGACAAGGTATCTGCTCCTGTCGCCAACTTGCTCAGCCAGCGGTAAGCAGACGTCCTGCCAATGACAGGGATGAAGGACGTTGTCATGCAGCCCGCTCGGCTCATCGATTGATCAACGGGCCTCCCGTCTGCCGGAGTCGATAACATGATCTTGGGAAGCAACAAGAGAAGCAACTAATATGGCAATCTGTGTTGCCTTGGGGTTTCCGATCTTTTCATTCTATACTCATGGAGACTACGCCGCATCTGCCCACATACATCCTTCACATCCTTCCACAGGGTGCGTCTCACAGCAGCTGTAGGATCATCGATGAAGTGACTATTTGTGGTGCCTGGATGAGCTGATTGGTCTCCACTTAGCGACGGTTGCGTTGCCGATGCCGCACTAATGTGGCTGTTTAGCCGGCTTGCCGCTCAGCCGCTCTTTCGGGTCCAAAGCCACGGGCCGTGTGGGGGTTTCGGCTTGCCACTGACTCTTTTCGAGCCCCATTCCCCACACTCACACCACTCGCGACAACGGTTCCCCTTTACAAGGGATCGCGAAATTCTATTGGTGTTCGTCTCATTCCATTTTGGAGCTCATGGAATGATCAGAACGTTCCCAATGAGTAAGTAGAGCGATGGGATACTAGATTGCAACTGCAAGCCTGCTCTATTTACGAAGGATCACCTTTACAGATGTTGGTTATAGCTGATCAGAGGTCCTTCAAGTGGGGGCTGTTCTCCAGCAGGCCATCATTCGAGTGCCAAGACGGACGATGGTATTGAAGTGGAAGTCAGGCCCACTGACTTGGGTGTGAATGCTCCGCGGATTCATCGTCCTTCAGTTGAAGCTTGTCATGCTGCGCCGTTTTCCGCCTCAGGGTATTCTTCTCGCCTGCTGTTGCCAAAACATCCTTCCCGTCTGATAACACGCCGCCATGAGTCGCAAGCCGCTGACCACACCGGCAATGCTGCTGTCCATCTCTGTGGAGACTCGGGAGTTGGACTGAAGGAATTGACTTGCAGTTATAAGGAAGCAACGTATCAGCTGTACATCCAGCAGTGCCGTGAATCCTTTCACCTTCAACCCGTTTTACCGCCCAATTACTTTCTTCTTACCCCTTGCTCGTTACTCTTGAACGTGTCAGAACTTCGCAAACATGCTGGTCGATCTCGGCATTGCAGTGCGTGCAAACGACCCAAGCGCCGTTCCATGCCTACTGGAGAAGCTGTCGGAATTCGGGGGCAAACCCTCTGTTGATCACAATGACACTCGCATGGCAATGCTTTCGCAGGCTAAAGCGCTCGTCAGAGCGCTGCAGACCCCCCGTGAAACCATGATCGAGCAGAACTGGGCCCAGGTATGTGCTACATCTTTGTAGAGGTTTCTGTATCTAAGTGGTGTCACTAGCCCGGCTGCCATACCGCCATCACCACCTGCTATAATGCAGGTGTGTTTGGTGTACTTGGAGACAAACCAATGAAGGTGGACGACATTGCGAATAAGCTTGGAAAGCCTCGCGAACTGTTGGGTAAGCTTGCATACTAGCGAATCGTTCCGTGACCTCGCTTACACTGGTAGCTCGCTTGATGAGGCACATCGCAGCCATGGGTTACATCACCGAGACCGACAGTGATGAATACATGGCGACAAACTTCTCGAAGGCCTTGACCATCCCTATCATTGGAGATGGCTATCCAGCCCTGTAAGTGTTCTTGATGCTTGACGCGTTGCTAAACTGAGTCTTGTGCTGATCAAATCAGTGGCGGTGGAGCCCACCAGTCTTGCAGCAAGTTCTCGGAGTACTTGCAGAAGAACGACTACCAGCTCACCTCGGACATAACCAATGGGCCTTATCAGTATGCTTTCAATACTGAGCTTGACATGTTCCGGTATCTGGATACACATCCGCCCTTGGGTCAGCAATTCAACAACCACATGGGTGGCTATCGTCAGGGTCGACCAAGTTGGATGGACTCGAACTTCTACCCTGTGCAGGAGCAGCTGATAGACGGTATGGACAACTCTAAAGATGCCGTCCTGTTGGTAGACATTGGCGGCGGTTACGGTCAGGACATCCAAGAATTCAGGTATGCTGCCACAAGGCCTAGTCCAGATTCGTATGCTTACGACACATTTAGATCGAAGTATCCTCAAGTACCCGGCCGGCTTGTATTGCAGGATCGACCTTCCGTAATTGATGGAATTGAGCGACTGGATCCGAGCATCGAACGTATGGAGTATGACTTCCATACTGAGCAACCATTGAAAGGTACGTCTGGCAGCTGCAGAGTTACCCGTCAGACGCTAATCAACCCCCAGCGGCGAAAGCATACTACATGCACTCCGTGTTGCACGACTGGCCCGACGACGTGTGCAAGAGCATCTTAAAGCAAGTTGCTGGCGCCATGAAGAAAGGCTACAGCAAACTGCTTATCAACGAAAACGTCATTCCGGACAAGGGCGCTGACTGGCAAGCCACTGCTTTGGATATGATGATGATCACCCTTTTCTCTTCGAAAGAGCGTACGTACTCGCAATGGAGCCAGCTGTTGGAGTCGCCGGAACTTGGATTGAAGATCGTTCGTGTCTGGACCGTTAGGCACTCGCAAGAGAGCTTGATCGAATGCGAGCTAGTTTGAGTCTTCATCGGCGGAGATGAAATCGCTTCAGAAGCTTGTAAAAAGAATAAAAGTCGTATACCTTACCTCCCTTCTGCTAAGTTTCGTTGCTTTGAGGTTGCAGACGTAGGCCGAAGCGGTGACCTATCGACAGTAAAGCGGTGACCTATCGAATTCACTATCTCGGACTAGTTCATTTATTAAGGTAAGCATTGTGCCTTCCGACTCTCCAGATCGTAATTTCCACTGCGAAACATCTTCGATAACTCACCTTAACAACCAACGACTTCACCATGGCGTGCGGAGGAGGTTGCTGTGGCCCCAAGAATGCGGCAGCGACATCTACCGCGAAATCAGATGTCGCTTCTGCAGTTACCGTCGATCAGTCAACAGAGACTTCGAGCAGCGCGATGGCGACTAGCCAGCCCGGAATGAATGCAACACTCGCTTCTTCTAGTTCTGAGCCTACTGCCTCTCGCGCTAGCGTCAACAATCCCGAGGATGCGACAACAAAGCCAAAGAGTTCGTGCCACTCATCTTCAACAACTCCACAATCAAAAGAAGCGAAGGCACCTTGTGCTTCGACACAGCCAGCGGAACAGGCCAAGCCGAGCATGTCGTGCTGCTCAACATCGGCACCTGAGAACACAATGCCATCCAGCTCATGCTGTGAACCATCAGCTCTCCAAAATTCGAAAGCATCCAAGTCTTGCTGCTCTTCATCAGCACCCGAAGAGCAAAAGCCGACAGACTCCTGCGGTTCACCATCGGAAACTGTAGCCTCGAAGCCGAAGGGCTCATGTTGCTCATCGTCGGCACCCGCGAAGCCGAAGCCGACGACCTCATGCTGTACATCGTCTACGCCGGTGAAATCCGAGACGAGAGGGTGTGACAGCAGCAGCTCGAACGAAACGGTTGCACCAACTTCCTGCATTGGCAAGACCAAAGATGACTGCTGCGCGAACGATAGCAAGAGCATCTCTGGAGAAACATGTACCAGCAGCTGTTGCGCAATCGAGAACACTGACGGTGTGAAGACTGCCATATCCCCGCCAAAGTCCTCCTGCTGCACATCGGCACCCAAGGAGTGTTCAACCCCCCAACCAACATCTTGCTGTCCCCCGAAAGACGCGTTGAAATTTTGTAGCAACAAGAAAGCGGCTGTGGTGAACACCACCGAGATAGCAGGCGACAACACCGACATCGAAAAAGGCGGCGTCGCACGCGAACACATCGCCATCAGCGTCTCAGGCATGACCTGCACAGGATGCGAAACAAAGCTCCAGCGAACCCTCGGCAGTCTGAACTACGTCAGCAAACTGCAAACCAGCCTCGTCCTCGCGCGCGTCGAGCTAGACATCAACACCAACCTTGCGACCGCTGACGATGTCGTCAAACACCTGCACCGCACAACCGAATTCAAATGCGAGATCGTGTCGAATCAAGGCTGTAGTCTGGATCTCGTCTGCTCGGGCGACCCTTCAGCTTTGGTCAATGGACAGTGGCCGGAGGGAGTGCTGGATGTGCGTCGCCTGGGCAAACAAACTATACGTGTGGACTACGATGCGAAGATAATAGGGGCGAGGGACTTGATGAGCGACGAGTGGAGCCAGTCGCTGCAACTCGCACCACCGTGTCCCGATTCTTCCTTGGAAGCTGGTAGCAGACACGTCCGCAACATGGGGTTGTTGACATTGCTTTCTGCCATCTTGACCATTCCCGTGTTGGTCATGGCATGGGCTCCTCTTCCCGAGCGCGAGATCGCGTATGGCTCTGCGTCGCTTGCACTTGCAACTATCGTTCAAGTTGTAATCGCCGGGCCTTTCTATCCGAAGGCTCTCAAGGCTTTGGTCTTCTCGAAGGTCATTGAGATGGATCTGCTCATCGTCCTGAGTACAAGCGCCGCGTACATCTTCTCGGTTGTTTCCTTTGGCTTCTTGGTCAGTGGAAAACCTCTATCGACGGGCGAGTTCTTCGAGACGAGTACACTGCTGGTCACTCTTATCATGGTCGGTCGTTGGGTGGCGTCGTTGGCGCGCCAAAAGGCGGCAGAGTCCATCAGCATCCGTTCCCTGCAAACTCCTACTGCCTTACTAGTCGACGATGCAGAAGAGCGAGAAATCGATGCCAGGCTGCTGCAATACGGAGATACTTTCAAGGTTGCACCAGACTCGCGCATCCCCACGGACGGTACCGTCATCTCCGGCTCTTCAGAGATCGACGAGTCGATGTTGACAGGCGAGGCCCAACCCGTAGAGAAGCACGCCAGGTCCCCCGTCATCGCTGGTACAATCAACGGAAGCGGAACGCTTAGCGTTCGCCTCACCCGGTTACCTGGCGACAACACCATCACGACTATCGCAGGCATGGTTGACGAAGCAAAGCTTTCCAAGCCCAAGATCCAAGAGATTGCCGATACCGTAGCCAGCTACTTCGTTCCCGTCGTAGTCGCCCTGACAATTATCACGTTCGTCATCTGGGTCGCCATCGGCGTTGCCGTACGGCATCAATCAGGCTCCGAAGCGACCATCGAAGCGATCACATATGCCATCACAGTCTTGATCGTGTCATGTCCCTGCGCCATCGGCCTCGCAGTCCCCATGGTCATCGTCATCGCATCCGGTGTCGCAGCGAAACGCGGTGTAGTCTTCAAGACAGCGGGCAGCATCGAAGTCGCATACAAAACCACGGATGTAGTGTTCGACAAGACTGGTACATTGACGGCAGGGAAGCTGGCAGTGGTGCGGGAGGAGTATGCGGAGGTGGGCGGGGAAGCGAAGGCTCTCTTGCTGGGTCTGCTGCAGAACATTAAACATCCCGTCTCGGCAGCCATCGCCACACATCTCGCGTCGCAGGGAGTGTCTGCTTTAACGGTACCGGATGCTAAAGTCGTGACTGGCAAAGGTGTCGAAGGAACGGTTGATGGCCAGAAGCTGCGCGCCGGTAACTCGAGATGGCTCGAGCTGTCCGACGATCCGCGCGTCCGTTCCATGCTATCTGAAGGCCTCACCACGGTTTGCTTCACCGTCGACAACGCGCTCGTAGCCGTTTTCGGTCTGCAAGACACGCTACGACCTGATGCAGCCTCTACTATCGATCATCTCCGACGCAGTGGTATCAGTGTCCATATTCTATCTGGCGATGACGACGGCGCTGTCAAAGCCATTGCCGCGCAGCTCAACGTCTCGGAACACACCGTCCGCTCTCGTTGCTCGCCGGCGGACAAGCAGACGTACATCAAGGATCTGCTCGCAGCACCTTCTACAACGCCATCAAGTGGCAAATCGCGGAAGCCGATTGTCATGTTCGTAGGCGACGGCACGAACGACGCCGTTGCTCTTGCCCAAGCTACGATCGGCGTCCATGTCTCGAGCGGAACTGATATCGCGCAATCCGCTGCCGATGTTGTGCTCGTCCGTCCTAGCCTTTCGGGTGTGTTGACTATCATCAATGTGAGTAGAAAGGCCATACATAGGGTTGCATTCAACTTTGGATGGAGCTTCGTTTACAATACTTTTGCGGTTCTGTTGGGCGCGGGCGCTTTCGTGCATGCAAGGATACCGCCTGAGTTTGCTGGGTTGGGAGAGTTGGTCAGTGTACTGCCGGTAGTGCTGGCGGCAGTCTTGTTGAAATGGTCGAAAGTATGAGGATGGGCTCATACGTTCAGTAAGGCAACTTACCTTGATATGGCATTATCAGTGTTCGTTGTCCTTGCTCATGTTACGAGCATCCTAAAGCTATCAATTATCATAGTTGCAACGATAAGATATACCATTAGAATGAAGTCATCATTAGTCACGGTTCTCAAATCTCAGGCAGACATTAATTCGTAATCCAGTACTGAAGTAAACTACTCAACCACGTGGAGTTCAAAGGGGTATCATGCAACTCATCAACAGTCTCCCCAACACCAAATCTCTCTAGCTCAAGGCAAAAGCTTTTGCTCGAACTCATGTCGCTCGCGGTACTTAGCCAGTGCGATAGGAACCTCTCCACTGTACCCCAGCTCGCCCTGCGCCTTCTCCAACTTCCTAGTCACTTTGCCGACAAGCCGAGCGATCCAACGGTCGTTGGCCATGGCGTGTACAGTGTTCTGGCCAGCTTTGCGCATGCCCACCATGGTCTTGTTCGATGCATCCTTGAAGCCAGAGTCCACCTTCTTTAGGAATGCCTTGAAGCCGTTGTCGTCATTAGCATTCAGTGTGGTCCCTGAAACTTCGCTGCTGTTGGTGTTGACTGATGCAAGACTGCTAGCTTCGCTATCAGACGTGGTGACACGCCTCAGCTCGCGAAGGACCTTGGCCTCCTCGAAGTCCTTATCCGACTCGATGACCTTGGTGGCTTTGACAATTGCGGCGACAAAGTTAAGAAGGTCTTGGTGGAACTGTGCCGGGAGATGGGCATGTGCGTTGACATGCATAGAAGCCTCGTCTCTCTTTAGCTTTTCGAGCTCTTTGAGATCCCGAACCTGCTTCGGGGTAGGATCGGCTTCTTTTATGGCAGATTCCATCTCAAGCAGGTCGAAGTCGCTCTTCTTCTCCGGGAAGATGTGCTCATGGTGGGGAAACAGGAATGTGGGAATCGTGAGAACAGCATCCGCACCTCCTAATCGTACAACTTGCTTAAGTTCGACGGCATCCGGAAGGATCCTGTAAGCCATTACATCGGAGATCTTGAAGTGGGTCGTGATGTTGTAATTGGTGTTGATGGGGAAGTGGGCTTCGCTAGCAATCGGGCCCAATTCCACAGCGAAATTGGCATCTGCGCACCAGGCTGATATCCGCGCTTCCAATCTACGAATCTCGGCATCTTGGGCTGAGTAATGCTTGAAGAAGTATTTTTGCATCAAGACAGTGAACCATTTCCCTGAGCCAGCTGCCGTGACGGACTTGAACTTGACAGGATGGAAGTAGCAGATGGGGCTGAGCATCAAGCGATAGAGGAAGGGTAGCCGATGTAAGAATTTCTTTACATTTGGGTACGATGTTTTGCGAAGAGTGGAGACTCTGATCGATTTGGTCGGTGGGTGAGGTATCGAGGGTTGCCCGTGGATCTGGGTACAAATCGCTGCCCGGAAATCATCGAGGTTTTCAATATCCAAGCGCACTCCCGGTTCTTCTTTCGACTTCTTCGTGTTTTTTGTATCCTTTTCGTCGTCGGTCAAGCCAGCCTCCGCTCGTGCCTTCGAGGCCTCTACCAGCCCCTCCTTTGCTTTTGTAATGGCGCTTGTGTCGTTGATATAGCGTACCAGCTCTTTGTACTTTGTGTGGGCGCGCTCCTCATCTGGTGAGATCTTCTTGACGGATGAGAATGCGGATTTGGTGTCTTCAGCCTCAGTCGGTATTTTCCCGGCCGTAAGGTTTCGGACCATATCAGCCGGGCGGCCGTTGGCGTTGCCTTTCATCGTTGCCGCTCTGAGGATGGCAGTGTTGGTGACGACTACAGATTCATCGTCATCTGGTTCTGGAACGCCGTACTGTACGTCTCCAAAGGTGACTTCCCAATCCCCACCCTTCACATTCGCATACACATCGTCGACAGTTATCTCGCGGAAGAGGGGTACGACGACTTTGTCGACCTGAATGCCGAGTTCAATGTCGTCAGCGAGCTTTATCCCGGCTTCAACTCCATGAGCAACAAGTGTCATTGTGGATAGTGAGAGCGTGACTCCCCGGACGACGAAAAGTCCCTTGACTTCGGTATCAATCTCAAGAGCAGGCAGGTCGAAGAAGGCTATCTGATCGTTGATAAAGTGCAGGTCTCGTAGGAAAGTCTTTCGTAGCGTGCGGCGCGCCAATGCAGCCGGTGCTTCGAACTGGAAGAGGCAGGTGATGAAGAGTACAGGCCAGCAGAGGGACCAGAATACCCAGTACAGAAGCCATGATGTCGCGCATACTGCGTAGATGAAGTTGACAGTTGCAAATATGGTCCAGACGGGAACAAAGGGTAAGATACGATGGCCATAAGCCTCGCCTAGGAGGATGGCGTAGACAAGTATGGGCGCTCCAGAGATAACCCATCGTAACGGCCAGGAGAGAGTAAAGGCTGCCAAGAGAGTGGCAGTGAGAAAGGCATTCGGTATTAGTCTACTGGTAAGCTCGCGTTTGCGTTCCGGCTCAAGCGAAGGCCCAGGTGCGGTCGGCGAGGGGACAGGTTTTCGCTTGGAAGCAGCCGGCGCTTCACGTCTCGGGGGTGAATCCATGCCTTTGAGGCTCCGGAAGGTAGAGGGGTAAGGTCAAAGGGAGTAGAGGTTCCGAGGGAGAGAAGGCATCGTGTTTGTGGAAAATGACCTAGTGCAGGCGCGGTCATTCAAGCCCTGGAGCAACTCGGCTCTGTTGGTGTGACGTCATGTCCACTGCCGTGTTCGGACTACCCCCGCACCCAAAGCAGAAGGAACAATCTGAGCCAGACCTGATTTGTCGCAGGAGAGGGCATGATGGCTGCCGCGGTTGATCCCATGGTTGAGAAACACTGAAGCCAAGGCTTACTCGGACACGTGATGATGCCGCGGTTGGCCAAGACGTGTCTGTATAACCGTTGGATCACCGCTTCCACCTGTCGATCGCCTGTCCTGAAGCCCAGGTTTCCATGTATTGAACGGTGACGTAAACGCGCTAGTGGCTCATTGGTTACATCTGCAGGAACGAGGTTTGCAATGAAGGGATTAAACAGGTCTCTACCTCCCGAGGATGATTTCATTCGGGTTCTATCATGTACGGCCTGGCGGGATTCCAGACCAGGTCCCATTCGCGAACCACGTACCCGCTCTCGTAAAGTCGCTATATTCTACGTTGCCAAACAGTTTATAATTGATGAACGCAAACCTGAAGTACTCATCTTTCGCATCATCCGAATGACTCCAGGTGAAGTTTCCTGTGTCGCTTCCACCAATGCCCCGATACCTTTCCACATCGTTGACCACCACGCTGACGCCTTGATATCCGCTGAGTAGAGTCTCCCATGCGAATGTAATGCTCGAACGATTCACGACTAGCTCCAGAATACCTGGGATGCCAGATCCGAGCTGGCCATCCCCTCTCAGCGCTGCGGCCGTCTGTAGTATAGAGTCGAAATCCCATCGTGCAATACCGTTGACGAAGAGTCCAACGAGCAGGCCTTGACACAGCAAGCTCACGCGTGTCTGCAGCGCAGTACCTGGAAGGAGTACGAGAGCGATTATGTAGTGGTGTATCCTAAGTGTAAGCTTCGGCATAGCTGCAAGGATACCCAGCCCAAGGCCCAATGTAGCGTATAGTGCAAGATAGCGTAGCAGTCGCCCTTCCTTACGGAAACACCATGCTTGGTACAAAACGACGGCAAACAAAATCAGCACAATGATTACTAATGCTGTGATAGCACCAGGCTGTTGTCGGATGTCGTTTCCTGTGAGCCGCTGTATGGGTATACGTTCAAATGTATAATTACCCAGTGCGCCAACCCAGGCACCGCCTATCCAGAGTATGGTCTTTTCGATTTGCGCCCTGCAATTACGCAGAGACTTGCGAACACTGAACTTATAGAAGAGGGCAGCAGCCAACGCCGCAGGCAAGAAGCGGCCAAGTGTTGTAGAGGCCAGGGAGGCGTAGTTTGAGTACGAGGGCGGATCTGATGCCATGCCGGTCTGGAAGAACAGAATCGTAAAGACGGGCGCAAAGAACGTCGCAGGGCTCGTGGTGAAGATGCCGAACAGAGCAGTGAAGATGGTGGAGAGGATCAACAGATTCCAGCGCGGGTCTTCGTATTTGGCCGAAGCCTCGCCAAAGGTAAAGGACATTGGAAAGTGCGAGTCGAAGCCAATGCTGCTGATGCCATGTCGTGTCACAGCGCCGAAGCTGTCGCGCTCTCCCACCAACGAGAGAACACCGCAACCGCCGCTGCCATCGCTGATTACCCCAGCGTGGATGGCCGCCGAGCATATGAACGAGTCCCCGCGATATACGAGCCCATCGCCCTGGGAATCCGGCGTGCCGCCAACCACCAGGGATCGATAGTTTATAACCTGCGGACCGATTGCGCGAGGGTTTAGGACTTGGGCGCTCGAGCAACCGGCGGGGCAGACGAAGGCGAACGAGGCGTTGGAGAAGGGGAGGCAGTTGCGGCCGTCGGGTCCGCAGCTCTCTGTAGAAGGCCTGGCGATGATCAGTACAGTCATCACAGCTTCGAGTATAAGAGGAGAGGCCCTACCACAGGTTGTTGATACACGACAGCTTGACAGGCGCCCCCAACCCTCCAATGTCAGACGGAAGCCCGCCGTCACTGATGACTACCGCGAAGACAACAATCCACACGATGCATGCCGCCGCATACACACAAATGCGCAGCCATTCTGGCAGCCGCGCGAGCAGACGCACAGGCAGCGTCTGCCAGCGCTCAAGAAAAGGCGTGATCGTGTATCTGCCCGGCGGCTTCGGCCCTTTGACCCAGTCGACAACCTTGCGGCTCCAGCGAGCAACGGGCGCTGGTGTGCGCGCGCTGAGCCTTTTCCTCCATTGCGGGGTGACTTCTAGGTTCTGACTATTCGGTGCGACGCGGTCGCGGGAAGGGTCGCGTTTGGTCCCATGCTCGAGGTCCATGGTTTCCGGCACCGCGCGCTCGGGCGTGTCGCGTGCAGCCATTCGGGGGGTACACGTGCGAAAAGAACGACGACAGCGGCTATGACTACGCGATTATCATGTTGCAGAAATGCCAGAATACGAACAATAAGTATGCGACAAGAGAATATCGACCTAGACTGAGGTGGCGCACGGCAAGCATCATCGACTCGGACGGCTGCTGGATTGATCCACTTCGCCGCGCCCGAGGCCTCAAAGGCTGGTTCCGATGCACCCGCAAGCTAAACACCCAGTGGTCCTCTGCCCTACAACCCCATCCCGGATGCGAGAATACCGCTGAATTACACCTCGTTGCGCGAGGCCGGATACGAGTGCCGAAGCCAGGCACAGCCACGCTCGTTGCATGAGTTTGCCGAGTCGCAGCTGAGCATGCCTCACATTGGCACCGTCGAAAATGTCGCGACAATTCCATAAAGAACAAGGCCATCATTACTGTTTCTGGTCGCGAGCAAAAGACGAATATTTCAGAACACTCTCCATGGCAAGAATGAACAATGCGCTGCTGTTTTATCCAGAGTACAAGTTATCTGTCGATCTGACCTATATGAGCTGTCGGCAAGGCTACCGTTCCTTTTCCTGTATCATCAACCGGACGGCCTCCATCAACTAGATACGTACCACGCGGCCATCGCAGTGGCATCATTGTTCAGACCGGTCTCGAAGTTCCCGCCGCATGCGCTACGTTTCGAGTGTCGACACAAACTTTGGCGTCCTCTGCGAAACAAGTGCACGTTTGGAGGGACCCCATGAAGCGGATACAATACCCCGAAAACCGTAGCTGGTGCACCACATGGTCTCAAATAGGCGACAGATTTCCCTGGTACAGGGATCGTGCTGGTCATGTTTGGTACGGAAAAGTCGCAGTGGGCGTTCTCTCGACCAACCGCATCTCATGGTAGCAGCCCACACCGAAACGTTCACCCGCTTCAGCACGTTTTTGGCATCTGGTACTTTTTGTATGGAACCACTAATAGCCGGCTGGGGTATGGCACCCGCGTTACTGCCATTTCAATATCCTCGCGTGCTGTGAATCTTCCTCGCCTCTATGGGAATCTTACCTCGCAATGGCTGCACCGAGCAGACCATATGATACCCCACCGGTGCTGGTACGCCGTAATAATCCAAGGATGGCAGCTACGCCCATCGTAGTCGATGGCAAGATTGAGGAGAATATGGACACAAACTCGTGGAAAGGCTGGACGAAATCCCAACAATCGGATACGAGCAAGAGCGAAACTCCGGAAGGTGCACCACCAATGCCATTGTCACGGTCACTGGACTCTCTTATGGGTACACAGGGTGTACTCCCATCGCAGTCCGAACAGCTCTCAACACTGGCCGTACCAACGCCTACCGATGGCCAGGGATCAACACGTCAGGCTTTCGCCGCACCTTCGTTATCGATGAATGCCACCTCGACTTTCTCTCTTAACTTTGTAGCATCTACCATCCGGCCAACCCTTACTGTGCAAGCAGATGCTATCGCGATGAACGAGGCCATGACCATCCAACCTGCTTCAACTGCAGTCCCAGGCCTTCTAGCGGACTCTTTCGCACAGGATGAAATTGCAGCCCTTCCCGGTGTCAACCAAGACGACCCTTCATTGAGAACAGTACCTGGAATGAACCAAGGTAAGCTCTTGATGAAGAACAGGCCTTGGAGACGTGCATGGAGTGTTGACTTCCATCTCTTTAGAAACTCCTGTACTGTTGACTACACCTGTAGTGACACCTCTCGCAACCCCTGAGAGTTCGACTGTACCGTTAACAACTTCGGCGATGACAGTCGGAAAGCCCATGCCTGGGAAGAATCAACCGAAGCCTACGATGGATGTTTCTGCAGTGTCATTCATGATTCTGAGCGACTCCCGCTCAACGGCTATGTCAACTATGTCGTCTTCTTCGGCAGTGAGCACAGCCACCAAATCCTCTGCGAGTTCTTTCTCCCAGCCGCCAACATTGGTCATCTCGACTTCATCCCCAACAGCGTCCTCGACAACGACAAAGCCTTCATCGCTACCTCCAGTTCTCACTTTTGTCACCATCACGCGAACAGCAGAGGGCAAAGAAGATATCCAGCCGTCCACTCAAACTATCATGGCGCCACAAGCTATCACCACACGACAGTCCGTATCCTCAGGGCTTCGAACATTGTCCCTAGCTTCCGGATCAGCGCTACCTTCCAGTCTAGCCACCGCCGTTAGCGTCGAGCCCCAGCACGGCTTGACACCCCTAGCAAGGACACTGTTCATTCTTTTTGGAGTACTGGGTGAGTACCGCATCACATCCTTACAGGACGAATCTAACATGAACACAGGCTTTGTCACGATCCTCCTCGCCATCGGTGTAACCTTGATTATGCGATCGAACAGAAGGCGCGCACAAGCAGCCCGACAACAAGCCGCTGGAAGCCCCATCAAAGACATCGAAGAATACGATGGCTACGGAAACATAACCCGCGTATCCGCCAACAGCTCAATCAAGAACTTCCTAACCGAGCCCGAAAAAGCCATTGTGAACCGCGCCGCTACGCCAGACGGAGACCCAGATGTAAGCATCCTTCACCCCCAGACCCGGTACAACGACGCTGACATGCCACTCCAGGCAAGCACAAGACCCCCCAACACCCTCACCGAAGCCATCAACTCCTTCATAACCAAATCGCGTCGCCTAACATACAAAATATCGCCCTGAAGCCTGTATGTAGTAACGAAGAGGTGGAAATCAACACATGCTTGAACGGGTCACCAGCGCAACCTCGTACTATAATCGTTGCAGGACTTGATAATCAACTGTACATAGCATGACAAGACTGTATATACAAGATGGACATCGTTACAATAATCATACAAAATGGGTTGTGAACCTTAATCTCCAACACCATTAACCTCACGCGTCTACCAACTGATCCGTACCTAGGTAATATGCGTAGCAAGACGACACCAAAGCCGCGCATGATACAGTAGCTAGTACTCGCAGCACTGCACCATCACGCCACAATCATCTATCTGGCTAGCGGAAGTAACTAGTTTACTGCGGCGTAGCGGCGTAGTCCTTGCGGAAAGCGCTAGCGCTCGAAGTGCTTACCAGCATGAGCGTTAGTGGCTGTTAGTGCTGGGTTCGACGGACCCCACGCCGGACTTGCTACTTAGGGTAGGTTTGGGTTGGTCAGCTTGTGGGGAGTGGGAATGGCCTGGGATGGGGGGTGGAGGGTATGATGGGAAAGGGTGTGGGGGCGGGAGGAAAGTGTGTTGGGTTTGGGATGGGCGAGGCTGAGGGTGTGGGTATGAGGGTGTGGGATGATCGATGCGAGGGGGGGTTGTCTTGTAGAAGTGGGATGGGGATGCATGTTGATTCGTTTAATACTTAGTTTCTGCCTGATTGCTGTGAAGGCTGTAAAATAGTAGGTTTTGTCTGGCTTCCACAGACTTGGCGTGCCTTGTTCTGGGGTTGGTGTCATACGATACGGGCAGGCTAGCTACCTTGCAACAGCCTTGTAAGCGTGCAAGACGTCCCGACTAATAGCTTGTATGCACCTCTTTTGCTATATGTGACAAGTGATGGTAAATGGATGAGTGAGTTGCTCATCAAATTGGGAACAGAATCTAGCGGTACGCAAGGCAGATGACCTTCTGGCTAAGTAGGAGCAAAGAATGCCCTATAGTAGACGTGCAAGTACACAGTCTCCTCGCCAACTTGAACATCCCCTGGCAATGGAAACTCCATCTTGTCTGTCTCTAGGAATCCTGCATCGGACATTAGTTTGAAGAATACTTCTTCACTCGAGTGACGTATTTTCATTGCGATGGCAATCCTGACTTTAGGGTTTGCTCTGGAGAGTCGAGCAAGCGTTTTGACTAATGCGGGGCTGTAGCTGCAAGTCAGCAATATTCCAGGCATGTGGAGTGGGTGAGAAGAGGCATACCTGCTGTCTGGGTTGTAGGTGCAATCAGCAGCAAGAATAAGATCGAGAGGCTCTGAGCTAGACTGTACTTCACCAGGTAACTCTGCATCCCAGTCCAGTTCCATGAATGCGAGTGATGCACGTGGTGCTTTGACTGCCGAGTCGATGTTTCGCTCAACGATCTCTCTAGCCTCTGGAAGGTCGGTCAAGAGAACTTTCGAATTGGACACGGTCTGAGCGATTGCGATTCCGACCATCCCGCAGCCAGTGCCAAGTTCAAGGACATTCAGATGGGGTTCAGATGCAATACCATATGGTAGTAAAGCTTCTGCTAGGCTGGATTTTGGATTATCCAGAGCTGTCATTTGGCATGAGAGTGTGATACCAGCGTCCCTGTTATATGATCAGCACCTCAAATAGATTGTAACAAAATTGGATATACATACCATAGATGCCTCGCTATGCTTTCTCCCGTCTCCTCCCAGATAGTAGTGATGGGTCCATCTGGCAGCTTGAACCGTCTTTCGACTAATTTCAGAGCATCTTGGTCTGACGCGAAAGGCGGGCTCCAGGCAGATACAACACCTCGAGCACCTTTTTCTGCTATCGCAGCGAAGCCATCGTGTGTTCGTTTCGGCTCCCCACCCACTCTTACTCGCAAACTGGAGTGAGAAGCTTGAGATTTAGGGAGCGGGAAAGTGATGGGCAGACTGCGCATGCCGGCTGTCCATTGAACGGTCGACCATACTATCACGCTTTCTTCTGACCCATCTGCAGTTGCTGACAACTCTGCTGCTAGCTGGATGTCGTAAGGGAGAAAAGAATCTCCAAGGTCTGAAGTAATGGTAATCAGACAGTGGACTTGCTTTCTCGACGTGCCCTTTTCAGCGACTACGCGGGGACTTTTGAGGAAGCGGACGTATCGCATGGTTCATTGTAGGATTGGTCGGAAGGGGCGTGCCGAAAGCAGCAAGACTGTGGGGGTGAAAGGCTGGATTGATGTGGGGTGCTGGGACGGCTGGCGCAGGGCTGGGGAATCTGAACCTAGAGCGCCAACCGAGCCGCATCTCATCGACCACGTCGTCATACCTCAGTGTGTCAGCGTGAATGCGCCTGCTGTCCTGTTGAAGCCAATGCGCTGTCGCATCGCAGCACTCTGCTGCTCTACGCAATACCCACCCGCGTCCACTGAGTGCTAGTCACCGTCGTCGTCATCGTCACCATGTACCGTCGCAGCGACCCGCGGTGGAATCGCACGCTCCATCAGATCACAGAGAACCTCGAGCACGCAAACGAATCGGCGCAGGAGAACATCTACGGCTTCACGCAGCGCTACGTTAATCCGTGCTTCTCGTCGATAACCCAATGCGTCAACGCGTGCACGGCGCCATGCTTCCCAGCGCACAACGACCGCCGGCGCAATCGCGGGCGGTCACGCGGCCGGGCAGAAGTCAGCTTTGACTTCTACGACGACTGGGAGGACGATGAGAACGACGGCCTCCTGGGCTGGGGCAGCGACAACCTCGACCGCTTCCTCGGTGGCGCCTCCAATTATGGCGCAACCACGCAGCCTGGCCGACAGAGCGGCATGAGTTATGGACAGCGAAATCGCGACCCGAGATACAACACGCCGCGCCGGAAAAGCACGACGTTGCCACGAGATGGTGCCCAAGACCCGACTCTCATCCCGAGTTCCTCGTACTTTGGCTTCTTGGGACGGTTGCCTTTCAAGATTGGCGGCAGAGGACTGCGATACAAGCCCTCGGCCGCAGACCTCATAGAGCACCCAGGCGCAACACGAAGAAACCGTGAGGAGGAAGAGCCACTGATAGAAGACAGCGACGAGGATGCGCTCGACGGGCCCGAGAACAAAGGCCACCGCCGACAGCGAAGCAACACGCACACCTCGGGCCACACAACCGACTCCCTCAGCTCGCGAGGCGACATCTTCCCGAGCGAGGACGAGCTGGAAGACGCCGTGCCCCTCGACGACGAATTCACCATCGCCCTCGAGCGCCGCACAACAGGGCAATGGAACGAAGACACGCCCAGCAGCAACAAAGCCCGCTCAAGCAAGAGCAAGCGCCCCTCCGCATCCCGCGTATCCACGCGCACGCTCTCCTCCCGCAACACAAGCAACTCGGACAAACCGCCCCTCTCCGCGCGCTCCGTCTCCGAAACAATCGAACAAGTTCCCCCCACGCTCGACGAACTCTCCAAAGAAGAGGAACGGCTTCGTTTAGAAGAGGAGAGGGAAGTCAGTCGCAAACGCCAGGAAGCGCAACAACTCGCCGTCAAGCGCGGTCTAGCGCCCGATCAACCCCTCTCCACCAAATCTAGTACGCCTCGTTCTGCGTCGCCAGCGCGACTTATGACAACAGTAGACTCGACTGTATCTCCGCTTGTACGCACGCCCGTTGGCGAGACTGCGCCGTCAATCAACCAGAGCGATGCGATTCCTTTCCCGAGTTTCGTAGATACGCAGACGATGCCGGATAGTAGTGCGTTCTATGTGGATGAGAGCGATTACTCGAGCAAGGCTGTCACGCCGAATCGACCATTGTCTATTAAAGACGAGGTGAGAGAGGAAGACGAAAGGGGAAGAGTTGGTGAGGAGCCATTTGTTCCGGCTAGGTTACCGCATTTTGGGTCTGGATAGACACTAGAATAGATGAAGAGATAGATCGGGCTTGCAGGATGATGGACATCTGTTGTACTGTTATGATGATGTGTAATGGGCATATGAAGAGACGCAGCGGGTAGCACGTGTTGTAATATAACAGTCTGAGCGATTCGATTCAATTCATCTTGTCAATATTACTATCAGTTGGCTAAAAGCCCATGTTGCCAAATGTAATCTGCTTCTTGGTCAACCCTTGGTATATCTCATCTAGCACGCCTCTCTTCCTTTTCTTATCGACCTCCTTTTCTTCCCGCTCCAATTGCTCATCCTCATCTGCTTCAGCGTCTTCTTCCGTTCGCGGCGTCCATGCCGCTATACTGCCATCGGCGTGCGCAGAATATATCTCTACGTGATGTGGCCGCCACGCTAGACTTGTGATTCTATCCTTGATATTGCGTTGTCCCTTTGCTGTCGCACCAGACGTACTAGGTGGGTTGTTCGTCTGGGGCTGCTGTGAGCGGCGCAGACGGCGGATAAGCTTACCTTCAAAGAGCTCGTAGCTAAGTATCTCATGCTCGTTGGGGTAGAACATGAGATCGGCACCTGGCTGGAGGTTCTGCGTGGGTGCAAGTACGGGGATACGCGGTGCAAGCCCCGAGTTCTTGACCATGGGGCCGAAGTTGGCGAGGGTATTGGCGCCGGTATCCGTGTCCCAGACGCGTATTCGAGCATCGTGGCCGCACGAGACTAGGTGTTTGCCGTCTTCTGTCCAGACGAGCCCGTTCACGGCGTCTCTGTGCGCTTGTGCGTTGGTAGAGTTGCGTGTAAACGATGCGGGCTTCCCTAGTATGCCGACTGAGTCCTCGAGATCCAGTACGCCCAGCTCACCGACGCTGCGGCGTACATCCCAGAAGCGTACACTGCCGTCTGTAGCTCCGCTCGCGAGAATGTGTTCGCGCACAGGGCTCCATGCTGTGGAGAGGATTGCGCCAGAGTGGCCCGCTAGACTGTGTGTGGTTGCGCCGGAACGCAGATCGACGAGACGGACGTTGGGGTGTTGGGTGGCGCATGCGACGAGAAGGTGCGATGCGATAGGCGACAGGGCGATGTTGTACACCACCGAGTCGAGATCGAAAGACGCTGACGTCGCAAGTGTTTCGCTGGAGTAGAGCTTGACGGTGTGATCGTACGAGGACGTGAGGAAGGCCAGAGAATCGAAGGGATAGAATTGTATCTGCGTAATGCCCAGCTTGTGCTCCTCGCTCGTCTTGTTCACCGCCGTCAAAGGCAGACATGTCTCTCCCGCCTCGGTTGCCGTGGTCTGCGCCTCGAGATCCCATACCGCGATGGAGCTGTCGGCACCTCCAGAAAGCAGATATCGTCCTTCGAACTTGTCGATTGTCAGCGCGTTTACTCCGGATATATGCGCAGGTATGCGCTCGCGTGGGTTGTCGGGAGCCGGTAGGTGCTGACTGAAGGTCACGGCGGAAGACGGTTGCAGCGCGTAGATAAGACGGGAGGCATAGGCGCGCTTGAGGACATGGTTGGGAATGAAGCCGTACGCGCGGTCGAGCACGTGTTGGGCGTTCATATGCAACTACATGCTTCGTGTGTGTTGGAGCGAGGGAAAGAAGAACCTTGGAAGGCGCAGAGGGTCCCAAGGTTATGACGTTGTAGCCTGGCGTCCACACGCGACAGGGGTCTCCAGTCGCAACACATTCACCAACGGGCGCTCAATCCTTGTAAGCGAGCCGCATACCTTTGCATTCCGCCTTACCTTAGCACAAAAACAACGACATACATCCCAGAGCTATCTTGCATGGCTGCTGTCAAGAAAAAGCTCAAGATCAAACGCACGAAATTTCGCAAGCGCCGATCCACCGTCTACGATGCCGTCAAACGTAAGAGACGCCCAAGTTCATCAGCAAGGCAGTTGATCTAACAATATCTAGGCAGAGTCGCCCGAACTGGTCTGATTCACAACATCTCTGATCCCAAGGCATCCAGGAAACCACTTCGGCCAGACGAGGTACTCTTCAAGCGAAAGAATGCGCCCATCCGATACGAGGAAGATGACTATTATCCCGCTCACAACAAGTTACCTCCTGACCAAAAGCTGCCCAGTGGAGATCTGGCCACCGCAATGAAAGCCTACATCGAGAGGCTGTGGGTCAAAACTGGACGACGCCGCCGCTTCTCGCGCAAGCTCATGCGAAGGACGTGGAGAGGCCTGAACGAAACCGCGCTCATTGCTCTGTGCATCCTGATGGAAGAAACGGCGCGCGATGCACTGGGCGAGACGGGAGATTTGGCTTTTACCGAAGCAGCTGAGGAACATGAACATGAGATTCTTACGAGTCTGAAGAAGGCGAAGAGGGCGACGAAGAGTGGTGCGCAGAAACAGGGTACTGGTAAAGAGAAGGAGCAGCCAAGTGTTGGTAAAGAGAAGCAGCCTGTTGAAAAGAAGACAGGGAAGCACGTGACATGGGTTTCGTCCGATGAGTCGTCGTCGACGTCGTCGTTCGATGACTCAGAAGAGTCGGACGACTTTGAAGAGGATCTGGATTGAGTATCACATTACGTGGAATGGCGAAGTTCAAGAGGGAAAAGTCTATATCCGACCCGGAGCCAACAGATTCGCAAGGAGGACTTGATGGGCCAAAGATGATGCCATATGTGTACCACCGCCTTGTAGGCCCGTTTGAACGCACACCTCTGATCTTCACGCCGTAATGTTCAAGTTCTACTGCAGAAAGGAGATTACCGGGTGTCGTAGATGAGTGCCGTTAGTGTTGATGCGATCGAGGTTCTAGCTGGGCTAAGGTCGTGCCTGCCTCCTACCACAGCCGGGAACCTAGCGTGCCTTCCTTCAAGCGGGAAGACGCGATCAGAAGCGCGCTCGTGTCTTGCGACCTTAGTCTTACACACGATCGTCGGGGTCATCGCTTCTCATTCTTTCCTCGCTACTTCACTTCCGCTGCAGGAGCATTCGTCCTCTTAGTCGAGCGAAAATGGTCAGTTCAGACATGATTCCCGCTCGAGCACTCACTAACACTAGCAGGCACCCAAGACTCAGCCCAACCCGCAGAAGGCGGCATCCATTCTTGCCTGGTTCCATAAGACGGCGCAGGCTCATAGCATCAAGGACCTCGAAAAGACGCTGCCACAAGTCTCCTCTATCAACGGCATGCAGGTCAAGGACTACCTCCAAGCACTCTCAGACGACAACAAGATCCGTGTCGAGAAGATTGGTAGCGGTAACTGGTACTGGAGCTTCCCAGCCGATGAAAAGAAAGCCAAAGATGCTGCTCTCAAGAAGGCCCAAGAGGAGTTCGACAAGGCCACCGCTACTGTAGCCGAACTTCAGGCGAAAGTAGATGATGCAGGTGCAGCCCGCGCTGATGACGAGGAGATGCTCATGGAGACAGGTAATTACCAATCTGCCATGCTTTGCACTCATGCTCATCACTCGCAGGTGGCGACCGCAAGACACTGATTACGAAGCATGCCGACCTCACCAGAGACCTCGAGAAGCTCAGGACTGAGCTAGCCGCGTACAGCGAGCAAGATCCCGTCGAAATGGAGAAGAAAGCCACCGAAACTCAGCAGGCTCATCTTGACGCTGAGAAGTTTACCGACCAGATTTACGCCATGCAGGGCTGGGTTAAGCAGACTATGTGTGGTGGCAGTGGAGGGCACGAATATCTCGAGATACTGAGGTCCTTCTATCAGGATGAGTTTGATGAGGAGGAACTGGGCTTACGTGAATTGTGAAACTGGGGAAGTCTGTGAAATGTATTCTCGGAGTAGCCATAGAGTAGGTTACAACGTGTCTGTGCACGCGTAGCGGTAAGGCATGACTACGGCCATACAGACAATATAGTGTATGTACAATCATTTCGACTCATTCGAGTGACTGCTGCGCCATGTTCGGTCTGGCAGTGCTTGAGTCATGTTTGAGCATGGGCCATCTCCAGGGCTAACAGCTTTCGCTTGTGAAGGGCGTCATCGCAAGTAACTTTCGCCAAACTACCAACAAAGGCCTACCGTACAAAGAGGCCTCGCCCGCCTGCCTCTGCCTGACCATTCATTTTCGCACAACTGTCTGGAATCGTGCATACCGACAATTATCTATACTGACCCCTAGACCCGCAACAATACCCCGCGATGGCCTCGACAGGCGCCCCAGAAACCCCGCAAGTTCCTGCAAGCCCGCAACGGAGAGGGGGGAGAGGGCGTGGGCGCGGCAGAGGTGCACACGGTGGAGAAGATGGCCATGAGAACTTCGGAGGGCGAGGCCGTGGACGGGGCGGCTTCCAGAGCCGTGGGCGAGGTCGCGGCAACAGAGACGGCGCGGGCACTCGCGGTGGACACGCGCCGGAGAAGGGCAAGGCGCCTGCCGTAGACACAGAAGAGAGCGGACACGCTCCACCGACTCTCGTCAAGCCCAACCTCCAGCAATCGGACAACGAAGACGACGATGCCGAAGTCTGCTTCATTTGCGCCTCGCCCGTTCAGCACACAGCCGTCGCTCCTTGCAACCACCGCACATGTCACATCTGCTCCATCCGAATGCGGGCCTTGTATAAAACAAAGGCCTGTGCCCATTGTCGAACCGAGTCGGACCACGTTATCCTCACAGACGACGCCGAGAAGAACTACGAGGACTTCTCCACCGCCGAGTTTTTCAAATCCGACGATACCTTGGGCATACACTTTGAGAACTCTGGCGTGTTTGAAGACGCGCGATTGCTGTTACAGTACAACTGCCCCGACGGCGAGTGCGATGTAGCCTGTCTAGGTTGGCCGGACCTGCATCGTCATGTCAAGACGGCGCATGGAAAAGTCATGTGGTGTGTACTCTGCAGTTCTGAACAAATGATGCCGGCTAACATTATAAAGTGACCTCTGTACGCGGAACAAAAAGGTCTTTACCCACGAGCACGTCCTATTCACGATGGCCGAGCTACGACGGCACCAGAAGTTTGGCGACGATAATCCTGGAGCGATAGATCAAAGCGGATTCAAAGGGCACCCGGAGTGCGGTTTCTGCAACCAGCGTTTCTACGGCGACGACGAACTATACACCCATTGCAGAGACAAGCACGAGCGCTGCCATATCTGCGACCGCCGGGAGGGAGGAAGCAGGAAACAACAATACTACGTCAATTACGATTCGCTCGAGGTGCATTTTCGGAAAGACCATTTCCTCTGCCCAGACCGAGAGTGTCTAGAGAAGAAGTTCGTCGTGTTCGATTCTGAGATGGACCTCAAGGCGCACCAGTTGGAGGTGCATCCCAATGGTCTTTCCAAGGACGCTTTACGGGATGCCCGGAGAGTTGACATGTCTGGCTTCCAAATCAGGGCGCCTCACGAGCAAGGTCAGGGTAACAACAGGCGAGACGAGCGCAGACGCGAGGGTGGCAGAGGCCGTGGACGCGGACGGGATCCGAACGCTGAGCCAGTGCCTGCGTCGTCTGCGCAGCCCTTGAGCAGAGCAGAGCTTGCATACCAGCGGCAGAGGGAGGCTCAGAACACTCATTCAGTAACAGGAAGAACTTTTGGGGGCCAGCTCTCTGCACCAACTCCAGGCGAGGCGTTCGCTGCTAGACCTCCTCCAAGCGCCTCAGAGCCTCCTACCGTCACTGCGTCGCGCCCAACCCCAGCGGCTGCCAACAATATCACGAATGGTGTCGCCCAACTAAGTATGGACGTACAACCATCCAACCCAGTTCCACAGACACCCCAAGACCAGGCTAGACTGTTGCGTCACAACGCAGTCACGGAACGGGCCACAAACATGCTTCGAGGTAGCGAGATCAAGCTGCAAGAGTTCAGAGCTGCGGTATCGGCCTATCGCAACTCCAAGGTATCCGCGGCACAGCTCATCGACGGGTTCTTTGCGCTATTCGACGCCAACTCGAAAGAGATGGGGAAGCTGATCAAAGAATTGGCGGACATCTTCGAGATGCCAGGGAAGCGTGAAGCTCTATTGAAGGCTTGGAATGATTGGAAGGCTATCAACGAGGACTATCCATCATTACCTGGCTCTGCGACAGGCTTGAACGGGGGATCGACTGCGCGAGGAGGTTCGCGGGTACTGAAGCTGAAGAGCTCAACAGCGCAATCGTCTCGATCCACAGCCAACCAGCAAGCCAGTTGGTCGAACGCATCGTCGAGCAACCCGTTCCCAGCTTTGCCAGCACCTTCGGGTCGTGTCGGTGCGAAGCCCGGACAAACGCCTTGGGCCTCCTCATCTGCCACAACGAGCGCGCGCCCCTCTCCCATGCCATCGCGAGTCGCATCATCAACAAACGTAAACAAGAAGCCTGCTGCCGCAGACGCCTTCCCAGCTCTCCCCGCAGCAGCCAAACCCACCAGCACAATCTTCAGTCCTGGCTACACTGGCCACGGTCTACGACGCGACAACAGCGGACGCAACACTCCAGTGAGTAACCCTTGGGCTGGCCCATCCGGCACGAACAGCGGTACATCGACACCGGCTTTGGAGGATGCAGGAGCGGCAGGGAAGAAGAAGGGTAACAAGGGCAAGAAGCAGACACTCTTCCAGTGGGGTTAGTGGGCATAATG